TAGCTGAAATGAAAAAAGAATATTTCAATAGCGATGATAATTAAAAATCAGTTACTGCTGTCAAAACAGCAAAAGGTTCTTTGTATTCTGTAGTAAAGAAAATAGAAAAGAAAACTTGTTAGTTACAGAGAAACCCACAATTGAATCTTTGCTCAAAAAAGTCAATACTCGGTAAAAGGGGGGACTATAAGATGAGAAAACAATAACAGGTTACCTATATTCATAAACTACAAATTGAAAAAATGAAATACACATAAATTATCTCAAAATCAAAACCTGGCATATCTACTACTTCTTCCAAATCATATAAATTAATCACTAAAACCCGTCTCTTATTAAGCCATGCTGAGGAGATAGAATTTAAAGCTATGCACAATGTCAAAATGCTGTTATTGTTCTTTATCTGATGCTTGTATATTGATTGTTTTTAGTTCATATCAATGGCATAAATTTCTGAAATAGAATTTGATGCTTTAAAAAGTCAACTACGGGTTTTCTTTGGCAGCATATATATATATTTCCTTTTATATTCTTCAAGTCAGCCACTTGTTCTGCAATAGTTTCTGGCCTAATACAAATGAGTCAAAATATTAGAATTGAAGGTGATTTCTGAAATAATTGGACTTCTAGTTAACGATACTACAGCACTATAGAAATCATGGAAAAATCTGTTAGAAAAACAGTAAAAATAACAGTTGAAAAATATGTTGATTTTTATCCATTTTTTTAGCAATCAATACAAGCATTTTTTTTAAGAATTATTTGAACAATTCATCAAGACAATTGGAAAATTACCAACACATCTGACAAAAAAACTGAATGCTTTAGAGATGGTGTTTTCAAAATCTCAAAATTTCAAACAAAGGCCAATACATCACTGAAACTTTATGGGAATCAAATCAACCATTATGCGATTTCATATTCACCAATTTAAGAATACATGGCAGACTATGCAACCCAATAATACTAATCGTAGATAGTACTAACAGTAATATTAGATGATCCAGAATAATAAATATTAAGAGGTAATGGTATTAGCAATAATTCTAACCCACTCATCAAACAGTGTAAACTACTTTCAATTATATGTGAAAATATTCATTGGTTAAGAGCTTCTGTTTAGTTCAAGTACAAAAAAGAAATTTGATATTTAAGACTTTTGATGAAGAATTAAGAGTTGTTCATTTGTTTAGATGCATCCTTTACAGGTGTGTGCAATTGTAGGTTTAAATATCCCTTTTGTAACAGGAGTAAAGTACAAAAATTCCAAATAATAGTTGAAATCCTGAAACTGATAACGAAAGATGTGCAGTGTTCGCTAAAGCGTAAAATTATTATCGAATTAAAAAATCAGATAATATTTTCTCATAAAAAAGTTTAAGTCCAATTACTAAAGTGCTTTTTTAAGGTAAACTACACGGAGCGCTGATAATAACAAAAAACCTAACATTTTTTCTCTCCAACTCTAAGAAATCACACAGTAAAGAGGAAGAAAAATATAAAAATGTATATTTTTTCCTTCAAAAGTTGGTTTTACTTTTTTAATTCAGATTTTTTCTTTTTTGGTCTCTTCCAGCAAAGTATTTACAAACTGGTTTAACTTAAGAATTAAACAACTTTTAACTGATTTTCAAAATCATTTGAATTAGTCATTAGTTGGTTTTCTTTTAAATTCTTTTTTAAACAGTTTGTCTTTAATTTTTTAAATTTTTTTCAGTTATTTTTATTAAAATACCAAAACACCAAAATGTCAGGTCCTAGTGATCCAACCAAGGAAAAATACCCAGTCGCAGAAGACGACGACGACGAAGACATTGACCAGTTGATCCTCGACTTGCAATCAGTGCATGGTGGTAATGGAGACGACAACGAGTCGATTGAAGAAGAAGTGGAGGCAGGGCAAGCCAGACCAGTTCCTGAAGAGCTATTACAAACCGACCCCAGCATTGGATTGAGCTCTGATGAGGTGCTTAGAAGAAGAAAGAAGTATGGTCTCAACCAAATGGCTGAAGAAAAGGAAAACATGATTCTCAAGTTCTGCATGTTCTTTGTTGGGCCAATTCAATTCGTTATGGAAGCCGCTGCCATCTTAGCTGCTGGTTTGGAAGATTGGGTTGATTTTGGTGTCATTTGTGCCTTATTGTTGTTAAACGCCTTTGTCGGATTCATTCAGGAGTACCAGGCTGGATCCATTGTTGATGAGTTGAAAAAGACATTAGCCCACTCTGCTCATGTTATCAGAGATGGCCACTTAGTAGAAATCCCAGCCAATGAAGTTGTTCCAGGTGACATTCTTCAATTGGAAGAAGGTACAGTCATTCCAGCCGATGGTAGACTAGTGTCTGAAGACTGTTTCTTGCAAGTTGATCAATCTGCTATTACTGGTGAATCTTTAGCTGTTGACAAGCACCATGGTGACCAAACGTTCTCTTCCTCCACTGTCAAGAGAGGTGAAGCCTTTATGGTTGTGTGTGCCACTGGTGATAACACATTTGTTGGTAGAGCTGCTGCTTTGGTTAACAAGGCTTC